CACCCCCCCACCCACCCCAAAAAAAAAAACCAACAAAACACCCAAACCCAACCCCAAAAAAAGAATATTAATTATTAATAATAATTACTTAAACGAAGCTGCCTTTTGGTGTTCTGCCCCTCAGTATGTCACAATTTCAAAAAATTCCTAGAATGTCCTCACAACTTTCAAATGCTTTACAAATCATGGAAGGCATAAAATTGGAAAATGCAAAAAGATAAACAATTCCAAATACACACAGCCCCATGTTTCGACCAACAAAACCTAACTGCCCCACATGTTTAGCAAAAGTGACTGCCTTTCAGAAAAAATAAAAAAAAAAATCTAAAAATTGCCAAAACCGACAAAAGAGGAATTATTTTCGATTTATCGTCTCCATTCAATTCCAGAAGAGAACTACTGCATGGAGGAGACAGTGAAAAGCATGCGGGATTTTATAAAATGATTGCCAATGCAGTTCTTACCGTCAATATAAGCCAAAATTGTCACTTAATTGCTCAAAATTTTGATTTACATGTTGGCTTTTTTTTGGTTATAATCATATGATATAAATATTAGGGTATTGGCGAGGAGGCGGCACCATCACCATATACTGTCATCCTCATGATATATCAGTCATAAGGCCTACATCTATTTCATTTCCTCGAGGGTTAAATAAGGTAACATTTTGTCTTACAAATAGGTAATCGTAAAACTGCAGTATTTTGAGCAGGTGACAATTCATAGTAATTTTTTTTTATTTTCTGAAATTGAGGGCAGTAGGTTGAAGATCATTATTTCTTTTTCTTTTTCTTTTCTTTCTTTTTTTTTTGACGAAGATAATTCTTTATATTAGAATTATATATTAATGGAGGGATTCTTTAATGAATTTGATGATGATTAAGGTTTTCTTAAATCTACTGGTGTTGTTTTGGAAATGAACGTCACCTACTTGTTTTAACTTCCTCTATTGTTTCCTCTGATTTATTTACAGTTATATGGATGACTTATTTTGATGTTAAAGCACATTGTCATAATTTTTAATACACTATTTATATTAGTAAAGAATATTAAACTGTTATCAACTAGCATACTGTGTCTTGCACTCATTGCGTGCACCCGGAAGACTAGTAGTAATAAGAATAAGAGCAACAGCTTGAGTTATACTGGAATTTCGAAGAATACTAAGTTACTAACAATAAAATTTTCTTTCTCCTCCTATAATTCACTATGTGGCCACAAAACCTTGTAACTTTCCTTTTCAAGAACTAACTCTATCTGTAAACAACTGAATCATTATTACCAGATTTGTCATATGCCTTGGTTCATAGAATGGCTACAAGACATTAGTCTAAATAGCATGCAGCATAAAGAGGATGGCTTAATCAAATTAATATTTCAGGTCATGACACATTGTGTGAAAGAAAGACTAGCATATACATCTAAAGACATGTAGAATTAAGGATTATAATTATATAAAGTCCCATCTTTTTAATATCAATGATGAAAACCTTAATTAGATACTTATTCGAAAAATAGAAAGCATAGTTCTTAAATGAAAATATGAACAAAAGTATAACTATATTAAATCAAAGTTAATTTAATAACTTCAAAACCACAGTTCAATCTTGAAAATATTAAGAAAAAAGCCAGTTATAAATATACTAGAGCTCATAGAATCACTTAGTAGCTAGTGCTGTTTATTTATTTCTTAGCTGTTAACAGTCTTCAACTAGTAATTTGAGCGGGAGGAGTGAATTAGCTAACACTGAACCATATTCCTAAACAACTACTATTCTCGGGAAAAGAAAAGATGGACACAAAACACACATAAATTTTGACTTTAGCAAGAGAGAGGAGGGTATGGGGGGGAAGGAGGAGGGGCGCACAGGGAGAGGGAGAGAATAAAGAGAAGAAGAATGATAAAAAAAAAAGAATCATAAATATATAGTTGACTAAATTTCTCCACAACCTGATGGTTCACCTCTCTGTCATTGTCTATAGTCTTGCATAGATAAAATTTTCAGTCCAACTGACTATCCTAATAAAATTCAGTCACATGAACCGAACAGAGTGTCTTATGAAATATGTTTGCTGCATTTATTTCTAGATCCTCGTAATATAGATTGTATCAGTGAAAATTCTAAGGTACAGTCCCACAATAAATAAATAAATAATAAAAGTCCCCTAGATGTGACTCCATGATAAGCATAGAATGTAAAGATAACCACAAATAGAATAGCTGCAAATGATTCACATACCTTTCCAATCTTTATATTCTGCAGCTCCGCAAGTGCTTTTTTCCTTGACTGAGAAAATAAAGCAATAAAGAAAGAAACATGGTTAAAACCAACATGAGAACATGGCAGAACAAAAGGATATCGTTCTAAGATAAATACCAAAATTCAAGGCAAAGTAGCCTTTTCCAATAGGACAAAACATGGGTGTCCGTCACAATAACCAATACTTAACTTTCATGAACAGTGGGAAGCAAAATGCTGACTGTAGATAATTCATGCAACGCTCAGCCTTGTAAGCTGAACTTGAGTAAAACAAGGAAAATCTATGCTCCTAACTCGAGGTCGAACACATCAAGATCAGTACATGAACACCACTGTTATAAATAGCGGTAAATAACCCCGCAATAGTGGCGCTAATTATAAATAGCGGTAAATAGCCCCGCAATAGTGGCGCTAATAGCGTTAACGGTCCCTTCCCGCGACGCTGTCGCACGCTACGTTATTGCGCAATAACGGGGACATATTGCGGAATATGTTTGTTCGCAAAAACGGTCAATAGTGTGTCATAACGGTAAATAGTTAGCGATTGCATTCGAAATTTGCTTTTTGACTGCTATTTAAAAGTGGTTTGAGGCTTATTTTTTAAAATTAAACTCAACCATTGACCATTGCATTCCACCGTCTCCTATGATTTTCAGCATAATCTCATCATCTCTCATAGCCTCTGACACCTACCTTGATACTTCCTCTCACCTCCTTTACTGTGAGCTCCTCTTAGGGCAGTCCTGTCACCACTAAACTCTTCTTCTCGAAGACGACAACTTTTTGACTCCTCTAGTCATCTTCGGTATTACGTGATGGTTACATGTCTATTTCATGTTTAGGATCTCTATTACGTGATGGTTACATGTCTATTTCATGTTTAGGATCTCTTTAAATCATCCAATATGTACTTTTAGATTTCTTAGATTTTTCTTTAATTTTTCTTTTTTAGTATTCATACATATCTAAATTAGACCGCTATTTGACTTTGCGTTTTTACCGTTATTTTGCCGCAATAGCCCGAAATAGCCTTAACGATGCCTCACCGCTACGCGACGCTATCCGTTATCGATAACCTTGATGAACACAATGACAAAATTTCTCTCCTGTTTTTCGAACCATCAAATAAAACGTGGAGCGATTAACTTGAGCGCATAACTCCAACAAGTAGCATTTTAGGCCTGACGTACAAAAGATAAATGAATACCTCTGACATCAAAGTCACATGGAATTTCAGATGTGTACACAGTCAAACAAGCATCAAGCATCAAGTTGTATTGAAGTAGTAGGAAAGACGAGGGCTTACACATTGAATAGTGTTAAATTAGTTAATTAAGTGTAAATTAGTTAATTAAGTATTAGGTCAAGTATTGGGTTACTGAGTGTCGGTCCACTATTTGTATCCGTATTGTAACCCTATAATTGTATTGGTTCTCTAGTCAATAAGATTTCCAAGGTCTTTTTCTTTGACACGGTATTAGAGCCATGTTTTGTTAAAAAAAACCCTAACCCTAATCTCAAAAATAAAAATGGCAATAAAGTGTGGAACTACTTATCGATGGCGCTAATTTGATATTTTTCCAAACTAATTTCTAGTACCTTGGCTGATTTCACTATATTTGAGCTATGGTTGCTGATTTCTCAATATTTGGATGGCTGACATGTTGGATATCACGAGCTCGTCGACCCATTCTATTCCTTACTGTTATGGAGACATCTACTCACAAAACTATTTTGGAAACCACTGTGAAACTAAATAGATGTAATTATTTGTTATGGGCACAAGCATTCAGAGTTTTTATTGATGCTCAGAACAAATTGGAGCATTGTCTGACGAATCCATCAGCTTCTATAGACTTTAAGTACAAGACCTGGCTTTCTGGAGATTATTATGTTATAATTTTGTTGAGGGTATGGAAGAAAGGGTCAGTAGCAGTTTCATGTTCTTATCTACTGCTAAGGAAATGCGGGACATGCTTTAAGATGATGCATACGAATAGGAAGCATGTGTCCAGAGTTTATGAGATATATGAACGATTGTTTTCTCTGCAACAAAGGGATAGATCTGTATTAGAGTTCTATAGAGAGTTAAAGGGGTTGACCGAAGAGTTGGAGATGCATCGGTCTGTTACTAATTCAGCGACACTGAGGGGATATTGTCAACATCGAGCAATGTCGAGGTTTTTGTTTGGCTTGGATCCGTCATTGGCATCTAAGGTGCAAGGACGGATTTTAAGAGGAGATAGTGTTCCCTCGTTGACATCTACCGTCCCCACGGCGATGCGTGTATCAACTAGAGCTAGTTCATCCTCTACACCATTTGTTGAGCAGTCTGCTATGGTTGCTAAACGTAGCAGAGGATATGGTCGTGGTCGTGATTCAATGTGAGTCCATGGTTCTTATGGTAGTAGGCAAAGTGAATTTGATAAAGGATCACATATATGTACTCATTGTGAAAGGAATAACCATACAGCACGAAAGCGCTGGCAAAAGTTTGGCAAGTCTGAGTGGGCAATTGACTAGTGGTAATTTTATCACTCTTGCTGGTAGAGCTTCTCCTTCCTCAGCAATCTATTCAAAAATTCCTATCGTTTAGATATTACATGCACAGTATGAACAATTTTGCAGCTCCAATCCCAGTCTACTCAAAGCAGTCATCCAGTGACTCATGCATCCTCTTCAGGTATAAATGCTTATACTGCCTCTTCAGACATCCTTTGGATATTAGATTTAGGAGCTTCATCCTATATGATAGGTATAAAAATTTTCCATTCTAATTTTTTACATCTGAAGTTAGTGATGGGGTGATTCAGGCTACTCCATCCTTGCCTCTGACTGATGTATTATATGTTCCTAAATTTCCTGATGATCTCTTATCTATTAGTCAATTCACAAAAAATAATAAATATAAAATAACCTCTTTTTCTTGCAAATTGTATCTTTCAGGACTTACAAATTGGGATGAAGATTAGTTCATGTCATGAGAGGAGGCATTTACTATTTAGATGAGAATGTGCCTCATCTAGTCTCTCTGCTGGTGTATGTGATACCCCTCTATAGTAGCACCAGCACTGGCACCTGCATCTGGGACATCCCTCTCTTCAGAAGCTTCGGATGATAATTCCTATCGAGTCCTCTTTTTCTTCTTTAGGATGTGAGTCATATGAGTTAGGAAAGCATCATTGTGTTTGCTATCAGAGTCTAATCAATAAACACAGCAGTACTCCTTTTGAGTTAATCCACTCTAATGTCTAGAGCCCGTGTCGTTTTCCTCCAAAGAAAGGATTAAGTATTTTATTATATTTGTGGATGACTTCTCTCGTATGACATGACTGTACTTAATGAAAAAGAGGTTAGAAGTTTTGATGTAATTCAACTTTTTTAATAAAATAAAAAGTTAATTTTTTGCTACTATTCATGTGCTTCGTACTGATAATGCATTAAACTGATGTGTCTAGATTTTGTTCCACTAACGGCATCCTTCACCAGATTTTATATTCTCATACTTCTCAGCAAAATGGTTCTTCAGGTATGAAAGCACAAACACATTAAATGCTTCTAGATCATTGATTATTCATATGCATGTTCCAAAATATTTATGATCTGATGCTGTTGTGTGCATGTTATTTGATTAACAGGATGTCATCGTTTATCCTTGATGAAAAACTCCCTTTCTCATGTCTTTATCCTAGTTCTGCAGTAGAAGATATACTTGCACAAAAACCATTATAAGTGTATACTCGAAGACAGAAAGCACATGCTCCACCCTCATGCTCGACCAAACTTCAGTTTATAGATGCATGTCCTACTCATCAGCAATCTACTATACTCTGATCTTGATCTTCCTATTGTCCTTAGGAAAGGTAAACGATACTACAGCTCATCTCATCTCCAATTTTATCTCTTATAATCGTCTCACCCCCATCATTTTGCCTATTTGTCTTGCCTTTGTCTATTGAATATATGCCTAAATTTTATGAAGATGCAATACTAGTTCCTATTTAGAAGTAGACTACGAACAAGGAGATGGATGCACTTATCTCTATGGGAACTTAGGATTTAGTCCGCACTCCGACGACGAGGGTAGATGTTGGTTGTCGATGGGTGAATACTTTAAAGTATCGACCAGATAGCTTTATGGATAGATATAAAACCTGATTGGTTGATAAAGACTACACTCAGATATATGGAGTTGACTACTTTGAGACCTTTCCAGTCTAAATTCCATCAGGATATCATTTTCTATTGCTGTTAATCTTGAGTGGTTCATGTTCTAAGTTCATGTGAAGAATGCCTTCTTATATGGTGATCTACCAGAGAAGGTTTATATGAAGCAAGCTCTAGGGTATGTTGCTCATAGGAAGAATATTATATCACTTAGATCATTTTGTATTTATTCATCACACTGCATCTGGACTAGTTATTTTGGCTATATATGTTTATGGCATATTACTGACTAGGAGCGATATAGCTGGTTTAGCAGAGACAAAAGAGTATTTGAGACAACATTTTGTGACTTAAGAATATGGGCATTGCCAAGGTACTTCTTAGCGATTGAAGTAGCCTACCAAAAACATGGTTTGCTTCTTTCCTAAAGGAAGTATGCATTGAATCTTCTGCACGAGACTAAGTCTTTCGAGGTGCAAGCCTGCAAGTACCCTAATAGAAGCAACTGAGGATTTTTGGTCTGAAGACAACAAACTTTTTGATGACATTAAACATTATACAAGGCTCGTTCGAAATTTAACATACCTTACAATCACTAGACCCGACATATCCTATGTTGTTGGGGTTCTTAGTCGATTCATGCACAAACATAAAGTTCATTGGGGAGCTACTTTGAGGGGTTTTTCCTATGTGAAAAGCTCTCCCGGTAAAAGCTTATTATGTAAATGTGAAAATGTACATATCCCTATCTATTCTGACCCGGGCTATGCATGAGATAAGAGAGACAGTAAGCCTACTACAGGATATTGCATATTTGTTGGAGGCAATCTAGTTGTTTGGATTTAAAAAAATAGGATGTGGTTTCTCTATCTATTGTAGAAGATGAGTATATGGCGATGGCGCATATAGCTTGTGAGATGATGCGGCTGAGGAATCTAATTTTAGAACTTAGTTTTATCCAACCTAGACCTACGCCTATGTACTGTGATAATCAATCTGCTATTTATATTATCAAGAATCCTATTTTTCATGAAAAGACAAAGCATAATCTAGTTGATTCCTATTTTGCTAGGATGCAGTGATGAAAAACTTGATTCCCACTTCATTACTCCTTCAAAACAGTTGGCGAGCATTCTCACAAAGGCGGCTTCACTTAAAAGTAATTTCTAACAAGTTGTGCATGATTGATATCATACTCCACCTTGAGGGAAGTGTTAAATTAGTTAATTAAGTATTAGGTTAAGTACTGGGTTATTAGGTGTCAGTCCATTATTTGTATTCATATAGTAACCTTATAAATTGTATTTGTTCTCTATTCAATAAGATTTACTGGGCCTTTTTCTTTGAAATGTAGAGAAAATAGAAAAGGCAAAGGACCATTATTTACGTAACCCTAACCTCTTAAATAAAAATTATGAGGATATTACAAAATGAGCATGAGATAAAATCTAATCACATCTCACAATAGATCATAATACTACTAAATCTACTATACCAAATTATCAATATCTAACAGGAATAACAAGACATAGAGCTATGTGAAGAATGCAGCCGCTAAATAAGTATAGGTGAGCAGGAAGTTTACCAACTGATTGGTTGCCCATCGCTCATAATAGTGTGTGTATCGTTCGAGAGAGTTTTTAGCCCTTTCTCTTCTCTTTTCATCTTCATCAAGCTGAATACAGAAATTATTAAGAAATAAATTTTCAGGAGCTCTCAAAATAACATTAGGTCTGTGTATAGGCAAGATGCAAAACAATATTGCTTACAAGACCCTCTTGCTTAGCCGCTTCATAGCGATTGCAAGCATAAAAACCGCCAGTTCTCTCCCCGTGGTTTGACCACGCCCCAAGACATAACCTGCAAAGATGTTGATCAATAAGGCCAGGAAAACATTTTGTGAAGAAGCAATATTTTCCGATGCTAAGATTCTTACCAGCAAAACTCAAATCTACAAGGGGCTGAGCATGTCATATGCATACAACCATGATTTTTCTCAATAGGTCGCTTACACTTTGGACAGGCCTTAGAATTAGCCAATATCCTGCAAAAATATTCATGAAAATATTTTGCAAAAGGTGAACATACGAAAGCCATCTTTGCTATTGTACAGATGCATTACAAATCATTTCGGAACCCGAGAGAGTAGAACATGACATAAGAGAGAACGTGAACTGTGGATAATGGAGAGAGTAGAGATATAAATAATCAAAAGCAAGCCTAGCAATGTCCAGCTTATGGCATTTGGATCAAAATAGGAAGTGATAACTAGAAAACTGATGATCATTTAACACAGTATGTGTCTCAGTAGAAGGAAAACCTATAAATCATATTTCAAACTCAATCTACCTGGGTAACAAGATATAACAACTTAAAAACCCGACACAGGAGAGAAAACAAGTACCCGGAACCACAATATGGACACATCAGACATCAAAGAAGGCAACAAATAACTCATCAAAATACATAGTATAAAAAGTACACACTCAGTGGACACACAAATGGAATACAACTTTAGAACACTATTTATAGCCTACCAATTCATGTTCTCAGACTCAGCACTGTTCTTCAATGTCCACTTGGCCACTGTTTCACATACCACAGGGCGATGAGCATCTTCCATGCACTGAAAATTGTTTCGCACAAGTCAGAGCTATGTTTATGTGAAGAGATGAACCTAAAAAATTCCAGACTTATTTTCAGGTAGTACTCACATTCCAGCAAAAAGAACAAGTACATCTGCAGCAAACATCATAGTTTGAATTGCTCATGTCCAACTTTACTGCAAACTCACAGCCAGGAGCAGGACACCATTTTGTCTACAAATAGAAAAGTAAGTTGAACAATGAAATATAGGATATGCAAATGTTCCAGAAGGATTCTGGAGACAAAGGAAGTTGGGGATCCACAAAGGGATCCCACGTTCCTGAATCTCAATTCATGAGCTCTATAATTCCAAGATTTAATAGGATAACTACAGTAAAGGTGTTCCACTGGAATAATATACTCATAGCTTCCTACGTCATGTCAACATGCGTCATATCATACAAACTAAATATAATCCCAACAGACAACAACGGGCAACAATCTGTGCAATACTACAGCACACTGCAGAAAGTGCGAAAATGTAGATACAGACTACAATAGACAACTGAACAGAAGTTACAGAGTTATATACTATACCAACTTAATCAGGCTCCCAAATCCTATTCAGATATACTATATATGGATAAGTATAAACAATTTTTTAATAAAACTTTTTAATTTCCAAGGATAATTAAGCATCAAGATACAACTGCAGATCTTAAAGTATATGCGAGTATATGTAACAAGAACAGCTAGATACGTGAACCCATACATAGCAAAACACATGATAATTAAGTAGCACAGTAGCTGCTTCCCTAACCAAACAACATGTCAGATGTCAGAGCATACATTAGTGTTTGTTTGCATTTTTTAATGTCACTATTGACTCATAACCTTATTTGGATTATGCATCATAATGGAAATGGAAATATTCCAATATGAAAAAACTACAAATCATTTCAAGATAACATTAGTAAATCCATACACGACAGTGTTCAACTAGAATTTGGAGAAGGAAACCGAAGACAATGACGTAAACCCCGAGATATACCTTTCTTTTACTCTCAATGTAAGATCTGAGAAAGTAACGTGAATACTTTTCTTTATCCTCATCAGAGACAAAGTTACTGATCATGTCTGGACCAACAGCAGCATTACAAGATGGGTCAGGGCATCGTAGCGTCAGACAACCTGGGCCATCATTTACTGATGTGCCAATATAACCTGCCAGCAAACTTGTGTTATCAAGGATAGACGGAAAACTTGTAGATCAACCAAAATGAATACCGCAAGTACAACAACATAATCCCATTTTGAGATTGTACTCATGATTCCTGAGTCATATGGGTCACTAGTCAAACAAGTTTCTCGTCATCAAGAATAGAAGGAATAATTATAGATCAACCAAACGAAGATCACTAGTGCAAGAACAAAATCCCATTTTGGAATGACATTCATGACAAGGGTCATATTGGTCAAATTCCTGTTTATATGTTGATTACTAAGTATACAAACGTTAATCAACACGTTCCAATGTTCATGCTTCATAATGACTAATTTGCCAGAATAACGAGAATGAGCTATACATGCAAATGGCATGGATTTTACAGAGTGGTTGTTTAGAGGGGGTGAGGAAGTCCAACTTGGGTGACCCACTAAATGGGTTTCAACAAGTTTATCAGTACTAATGTGTTAGTTCCTCATTGAGAAAGGAAGATGCATGATGTCTATAATGTAGAAAGCACAAAGTAATGAGCCGACATAATGCATGAGCGCTTAACCATTGTGGAGGCTTGAGGTCCAGATATACCCCCCCATAAGTATTAAACCTTTATTCTAAATCCTTACTTCTTTCATTTAGCCCTAAATATTTACCATATTCTGTAGCCAGACTCCAGTATGTGTGGGTGGGTAGGGGTGGGCAAAAACCCAAAAAAACCGGTTCAACCGAAAAAACCGCCCGAAAAAGCGGGCCGGTTAACCGAACCGGATTAAATGGATGAGAAGAAGACTCTAAACCGCGCGAACCGAATTAAACCGGTCCGGATTCGGTTTGAACCCCTGAACCGCCCGAAAAAACCGAACCGAATTCTCTAATACAAATACTAAAAAATCCCTAACCCTAACTCCATTTTTCTTCCTAACTTCTCATTGCAGTTGTTCTAGATCCAATGTATTGCACTATTGACGTTGATGAGTCTTAGTTTTACTAATACTAGTAAGTTGCAGCCTTAAATTTTATGTTGTCTTTTATCAGATATCATGATTTCTATATTTGTGAGTACCACCTAGCTATGGTATTGTGCACACTTTGTACCGTGATGACAAGGTAGTCAAATATGAGCTGCATCTGTTCATAACTAAGGCTGGACTCAAGTTTATCAAGAATGGTTTTCCCACTTTCACATCCTGTTTACTAAATGTTGAAGGAAATTTTATTCTTCTCATTACTGTAGATTTATCAGGTTACCATCATGAACGTATATTATATGTGTTTAAGGTGATCATACGCAATTATTACTGTGATTAACATCAGTAGCATGCATGTTTTGATATAATGAAGTAGTTATGCTTTTATGCTTTCTCCATAATATTGTCTACAATGCCGTGTGAGCAAATTTTTGTGAAATGGAGTTAATTCGGTTCAAAACCGAAACCGAACCGAATCGATCCGAATTTCGGTTGGGCCGAATATGCGGATGAAGGGGAAAAAATCTGGATCTGGATGAGAGTTTTGAGAATCCGAAAAATCCGGATTGGATGCGGATTGGGCTTAAAACTGAACCGAACTGAATACGCCCAGCCCTATGGGTGGGAGTGTGTGCTCAGAGCTCATATTCATATCTTTTCTTTCTAAGCTCCCAATTTACAATAGGGAAGTGGATGTGAAAATTGATTGTGCCTCTTAAACTTATTAGCTCTATATTTTATTATATTAGAGGACTGCATTTGAATGTATAGTTTTAATATTCATATGAATCAATCAGGCGGACAACTCTCATCAAAACGGAGGTTACTAGTTCATCATGTTTGTCAAAGCATTATATGTAAACATCTTCACCAATTTACCCTTAATGACCAACAAATAAGTTGCTGTCTCCAACTTAGTCATGTCCAAGAATCAAACCCATACAAGATCAGTAAAGTTTTCACATCATAAGATTACTTGCTAACCAACTGATACAGCATAAACTCCTGCTCCTTAGCAAGAGCAATGCACCTTCTAATTGTAACACCTGCCTAGTTGATGATGACATGGGTATCTCCTTTTTTATTTTTGTGATTTTTCTTCATCATCTCATCTTCCCCATACAAATTAAAGCATCAATCTGGCTGGGCACATTAAAGAGCGAATAAAGAACTTATTTTTGGACCAAGAGCTATTAGACCAATGAGGTGCTTCACTTTATAAGTACTAGAAGAATAAGCAGAGATCACACATGGTGATGTCTGATTCATTCCATCACTTTATAAGTATCACTGTTCTCATAAAACACCAACATTAAGAACTCACATCATTCAGAAACCAGTGCTTGCTGTCAGGACGCTATTTTAGGCAATTCATTAGACACATTGATGCCGTGTAAGTGACACACAAGATGATGTCGGTCTCACAAAGAACACATAGAATGAGAAAAAAACACCTCTCAAGTATGTCAATCATTGTTTCAGTTAACATTAACATGCCAAGTAACTAAAGCAAACTGAGAGCACAGTCAATGCGTAATGAGGAATCATAATTTGATCGCCAAAGCACTACTAATTAAAGGTAACCACGAGGATTAATGAACAAACCTCTCCAGCATCCATGGCAAAATTGATGGCCACAGGCAACTGAACTCATTTCATGACGTGGATAGTTTTCAAAGCATATCCTGCAAGTTAACTGCAGCAACAGTATGAAAGATCATATGCAATTAGTTAAACAGAATAAGCAATCTCACGTGAAAGAAGAAATCTAAAAGGATATGAACAATAACACTAAATGGACAACTAAAAGGTAGAGAAGTAGAAAACAGGGACATGACTCCATGACTAGAGATTGTCTATTACTATAGCAATAATACTATGAATAAAGTACTAAAACTCATAAATTCACCCTTCAACTTTCCATAGTTCTGTAACATATAATTGTTCATATCTACTTAAACATATTGCAATTAATAAGGACTGTGTGTGTGGAAGAGGAGAAGGGAGGGAGGCAGTGAGGGAGGGAGGAGAGTGAGCAGATGCAATTGTCAATGGTGTCAAGTATAATAGTTAAACAAATATCTATAGTACTTACTTCCCTCGCATCCAGAATTATGACTGGCTGCTCCAGCAAACCAACAGACTTTCGCACATTTCCTTCATCCGCAAACCATTCATCATGCACCTTACTGACATTCCTGTACACCCAATAGACCATAAAGCATCAGAATATAGATTTAAGGAATTCTATATTCATTAGTAAAATAATGATGCAATCACTCCAAATCTTGAAAGTTTTTAACTAATGTATCAAATCATCCAAAATTGAAGTCCTTGCTGCTTTACAAATACAAAGGGTGTATAAATGGAAGAAATGGTTGTTTATACAAATGAATTGAAGTTTTTCACCCTTTTCTTTTTCTTTTTTTCTTTTTTTGAATGGGTGTTGTGATATATTTCTTTTTCAGCTCCTCTGCCAACGGTCCACCAATCGGTCAATGGCCGATTTCAGGATCTAATAAGCCCATTTTTTTCTTTTTTTTACTTTTCTTCTTCCTTCATATGCTGTAACATACAGTGTCTTTTTATTTTCTTCTTTAATTTACGATTCCTCGATTTTCTTTTTCTCCTCCTTACCTTCATTTTACTTTTTACGTCTACTTGGTTCTTCCCTTCATCACCGCCGAATCAGCCACCCCCTCTTCCCCTATATCTCCCTTTTCTTTTTCTATTCTGTTTTTATGCTCTTCACAACTTTTCTCTGCATTTTATTCATCTTCTTCTCATTTGATTATTTGGCTTAATATATTCTTTTCAATCATCGTGTCTCATCTATGTTGATGAAAGTGGAGAGAAAGCCACAGTAAACTGCTTAAGCTCCAGTAGGTTTATGGGGCTTTAACAACAAAAAGTGCCAAGAGTATTTATAAACATCGTGTCTCAATAGTTGCTTTTCAAATGTGGTATATCGGTGGAAACTATGGAATACAATAAATTCATTAAGCAACTTATAAAGGGAAAAAAATAATCATCTTACAATTTTAAAGAATGAAAAAATTATCATAAGAAGAAAAAAAAAAAACATTAAGATTTAAAAAATTCGACAAAAATGACAAGTTATGGCATGAAAAATATTAAATGATTAAGAAATAACAATCTGAAGAATCAAGAGAAATTTATTACTGCAAGATTCTTTTTCTAATCAAAGTATCATCGTAATTGTTCACTATTGAGACCATAGAGGTTGTAAATTAGATAACCTTTATGAGACCAAAGTTGGTCATTATAAGGTTATAGAAATCACTAGGCGGCCTACGTGTTGGACCCGACGCCTAGAGCCTAGATGGGAGTCTAGGCATTTTCCTTTTTTTATATTTTAACTACAATCAATGTTATTGAAAGTGTGAGGCACCGCTAGGTGCCAAATTGGCACCTAGCGCCTAGGCACTATGTCTAGGAGGATTTCTTTTCTTAAACGACGGAGAAGGTTTTGCCAAAGGTCGGAGGAGTTGGAGTTCTTTGTAGTCGGAAGAGGAAGCAACAACGAAGGTAATCACAAACAAGACATACCAATGTGGTTCACTTAAGCCGTCTCCGCTCCCTTAAGCGTTCTCATGACCTAGGCGGGCAGAGCGTAGGCAGCATAGGTACCGTCTAGACCTAGGTAGGAGCTTAACATTAGCTTCTTATCGAGTTTAATTAGGCAAAAGCAAGTATAAAGGACCGAAATTGAACCTTTAATCCTAATTCAACAGGTTAAAGTGGACCAAAGTAAAACTTAAAAACATGAATTTTTCTTATAGCTTTTACCTGAAGTGAAGTAGACGCTAGGTTATTTCAGCTAAGGCAAGGTTTTTAGAATGTCCTCTTTACCCATTTTAATCGCTAGATGGCTAAGTGTTAGTCTTACCAAGAATTTCTACCCTTTAGGAGTTTAGTATAAAAGTAAATTAGAGTTGAAGAACCTGTAAGTAGAAAATAATGATCATTCTCAAGAAGATGGGAGTCCAGAACACAATTGCATAAAATGAAAAATGATCAATGGTTAGAACTTAGAAGTGTGCAGCAACAATAGCCCTCTAAATTTCTAGAAACAAATTCTTCTAAATATTTACTTTACCAACTATTTGTTAACCTTCATTTGTAATCAACTCTAAAACTACCAAAATTACCCGCCATCAAAAGCAAGTTTTCAAAAACCAATTGTATACACAGTATGTGTGTTCCAAAAATAAGACAAAAGCTTCTTAAAAACAATACAAACTAAGCTGCAGAGGTCCTGCAACCATATTGAGCAAGAGATTTAAGTGTGGATATTTTTTAGAATTACATGAAATGTAAAACCTAAATGAGGATTTTTTTAGAATTACATGAAATCTAAAACCTAAACTTTGTTATACTTGAACATATAAACATCGAACGGTTAACATTTGCACCGATGCTACATAGATAATTTTATCATGAAGTCGTGCTTGTACCCAACAGTTGTTGTTCTGTACCTACTATACACCAACACTTCTTGGACACTATTTGAATATATGCATACAATTATTCATACACGTCCTCCATTATATATAACACTTGTTTAAGTTTATAACAATTGTAACTTCTTGAACATATATTCTAAACTTCACATTCACTTCCTGAAACTTGTTGGGCATGGGTTTGTTTCAAACCTATACGCACTTTAGAACAATTATTTTAAAGTGTCGTTTTAATAACTAGTTCAAAATACAAGTGGGTTCCAATTTGTAATCTACGTAATAAAACAAACATAGAAGAAACGAAAAAACGTTGTCAGAATAAGGTTATGGAAAGCGCTAGACAACCTAAGCGCGGACCTGGCGCTTGGAGCTAGGGGCCTATGCGATTTTCCTACTTTTCTCATTTTTTAGTTACAATAATTGATAATAAAGGCATGTCTACTAAGTACTAACACCTAGCATCTAGCACCTATGTGAATTTTCTTTCTTTATTTAAGTGGTTGGTCTAGGGCCTAACACCTAGGCTGATTTTTTTTAAAAGTAGTGGTGGGGTTTTTTGAAATTCGAAGGATATGAAGGACGTGTTCATAGTTAAGGAAAGTGGAAGAGTTCGAAGGAGATTGGAGGATGTGAGACCACAATCAAGATATGAGTGGTACAATCCGCGTAAGCGATCCACGGTCCCCTAGGCGCTCCCAATACCTAGGAAGGTTGCCTAGGTTCCGCCTGAACCTAGACAGGCACCTATCAGCGCTTTTTAAAATATTTTTTAGGAAATTTAATTCTCATAAGTCATAACACATGAATGAAACAACATTCAACCCTTGTTAAATTCATTAATGTCAAACGTACACACCTACTCATTACTATATATAGTACGACTATATATAATCATTTATAATCAATATTTATATATACTATATAATATATATATATTAGGAGTGACAGAGAAAAGTTAGTGCAAGATGCGAATTAACTGATGGAGACTCATTCAAATTTTCAGGCGCTCCCAAGATTGAAAACACGCACCATTTGTCAGATGTATCTACGATTAAATGGGATTACTATAAACAAAAATTCCAATGGATTTCGGGAATATTTATATATATTTGGGAGAAAAATGGGATCATGCTTGGTACCAACACATAATTTTGTGCCGTTGGTAGGTGATGTGTCACGATCCTCATCCACGTCACCTACCCATGTGAATGTGGTCCCATATAATTGAATGAGCTAGAGTAGGATTACTGAAACACATCGACCTACCAAGCATAACTTTTTGTGCTTGCGTACCAAGCTATACCCATATTACTCTCTCTCTCTCTCCTCTCATCTCTCTCGTATTATATTATCACTTAATATATATACTATGTATATATCACCGTATCGTATATTTCTACTACTTATATACTATATATATGTGTGTGTGTGTGTGTATAGATATAGATATATATATGTACATATGTATACGTACATATATATGTATATATCTACTCCTCTATACAAATGGGAGAATCCAAGATTTATTGTCCATGCTACAGTAAATACTACAGTAAATATTAATATAGCATTATTACTGTAGCATTTAAAAAGAAAAATTACTGTAACAAAGGCGTAAACTGTATCATTCTTTGAAAATACTATAGCATTAATACTGTAGCACAGGTATACGGTAATAATTTAAAAACGCGGGATATTGTAGCAATTCAAAAAAATCTTGCTACAGCATTTAAAAACATGCTTACTGTAGCGTGGAAAAATTATCGTCGTGCTTTGCACGGACAACACACTAGTATATATATATGTATATATATTAAAGGGAAAATTGTCGATCTTCTGAAACTTCTTAAACATTAATCTTAAAGATCTAAGATGCATTAAAAAAGTCCAAATCCACAGAAATTTTGTTTTTAGGGAGTTCATGTGTAGGTGATCACATCCAACGTTTTGGATTTTCAATTGGTGAGTCTGAAATTTGAATTTGAGTCTGTAGTATTCTAATCCTGAATACTACCGATAATAGCACAGCCCAATGAAAAAATGAGTTTAGGAAAAACTTTCCAAGGTTATCCTTGACCATTTTACATATTACATTATAATTCTATCCTAATTAATAATAAATTTATCTTGTTATTATCAATTCAAAGAAATGATAAGTTATTACATAAGAGTTCCAACCTTATGACAACTCTAAATATAAGAGAAACAAACTTAACATAAAAATTAACAAATTTTAAAATAACTTGGTAATAGTTAACATGTCTCTAAGAATTGTTAGACACTTAAATCTTGAAATTAACAAATTTGACTCTTTAATAAATTATGGGTTTCTTCGATATTAGACACTTAAATATTTCATACGTTGAACTAGCTTTCTTCAATATCAGACACTTAAATCTTTCATACGTTGAACTAGTCCCTCAAATCATTGAAATTGCTATTAGGCCCCTAATTCAAAAGCTATTTTGAATTTAGATCTCAAATTAATCTCTCTAATTTCGACTTCTACTTTTGATTAGGGAACGAATTTCAACATTACTTATGAATTGAGGTACTTAATTCCAATTTTAGTTATTTGAGAAACTAATTTTAAATTATGAAAGATTTAAGGGATTCAAATGAAAATAATTTTTTTGACTGCAGGCAATGGTTAGAGGTGATTGTTAATATGTTGCCTATATTAGACCCTCAAATATATTACGTTGCAATAAGAA